AGCAAAACTCCAGCTCAAAAAAAAAAACAAAAAACAAAAACAAAACAAAACAAAAAAAACAAATTCATCATCTGCATTTCTAATAGAAGATTTTCTTTTAGGTCTTTCACTCATGCCCACAAGACAAGGTTTGATAGCAACAGTCTGACACCAGCATAGATGAACCAATTCAAGGACAGCAATAAACAGGACTACTACTAAGTTCCCCCAAAGAAAATCCTTAGAATAAAATATCTCCTCTAGCTGCCACAAGAGTAAGACAATGGTCCATTATATAAAATTCCAATCTAATAAAAGCTTAAATTTAATGCTGTCTGTTTTCCAAATTTTTATTTTGTTCAGGCTCGGTCGTGGTGACCAGGGATTGGAAAATTACTGCAAAGAGGCTCTGGGGAATCTGGGGAGGGAAGAAATGTATTCTAAGAGGGGGCTGAGGTGATGGCTGCAAAATTCTATATGTCCACTTAAATTATTCAATTCTATGTTTACGATTCGTGACTTTTATTATGAGTAACTCGTTAAATGATATTTCTGGTTTCTACTCCAATTTGTAAGGAGCCAGGAGGTCACCACTTGTCCTCACAACAAGAAAAAGCTGAAAAAACTGAAAATTTTCAACCCTTATCAGAGGGACTAGAGGAGAGGTCACATGGCAAATTGCCATGCGAAAAACCAGACAGACAGACAAATACAGGGAACAGAAGCTGCTGAAGCCAGCAACTGGGAGGAGCACTTAAATGGTACTCAGAGATGACTAGAATTTGAGGGTGGCCTGGCTTGAACATTCAAAACTCCTTGGGGCTCAGATTTAGTGGGGATCTCACACTTTTCTAAGTGTTACCACCAGGAGCCCAACCAGGTTCTCATTGTAAAGATCAGAAAAATCCCCAAAGAACCGACACTGCTGACTTCAGTACTAATTATAGAGCTACAGTAACCAAACAATGTGGAAATTGGTGAAGAAAGAAAAAACAGACAAACAGGTCACTAGAAAAGAATACAGAGCTCGGGAATACACCTACACAAATACTCAACAGATCTTTGAGAAAGGCACAAAGGCAATTTAACAGGGAAAGGACAGTCTTTTCAACAAATGATGCTACAATGACTAGACATCCACATATGAAAAATAAATAAATCTAGGCACAGATTTTACACCTTCCACAAAACGGATCTTACACCCGAATGTTAGGGGCAAAACCGTAAGACTCCTAGATGATAACATCGGGGAAAATCTGGGTACTTTGGGTTTGGTGATGACTTCTCAGATACAATGCCAAAAGCACAATCCAGGAAAGAAAAAATTGAAAACTTGAACTTCATTAAAATTAAAAATGTCTTCTCTGTGAAAGACATTGTTAAGGAAATGAATCAACAAGTGACACACTGGGAAAAAAATATTGGCAAAATACAGATCTGATGAAAGACTGGTGTCCAAAATATATAAAGGACTCTTATCTTACCTTTTTTTTTTTTTTTAAGAGACGAGGTCTTGCTATGTTGCCCAGGCTGGAGTGCAGTGGCTATTCACAGGTGCGATCCCACTACTGATCGGCACAGGAGTTTTGACCTGCTGCGTTTCTGACCTGGGCCAGTTCACCCCTTCTTAGGCAACCTGGTGGTCCCCCGCTCCCAGGAGTTCACCATATTGATGCCGAACTTAGTGCAGACACCCGATCAGCATAGCACTATAGCCCAGAACTCCTGGACTCAAGCGATCCTCCCACCTCAGCCTCCCGAGTAGCTGGCACTACAGGCACTCACCACCGTGCCCGGCTATAAAGGACTCTTAAAACTCAATAATAAAAAAGCAAACAACCCAATTTAGAAATGGGCAGAAGATCTGGATACTTCACCAGAAAAGATATATGGATGGCAACTAAGCATATGAAACAGATGCTCAAAGTCATTTGTTACTAGGAAATTGCATATTAAAACAATGAGATGTCACTATATGACAATATATACCTAAAAGGAAGGCTCAAATCCAAACAAGTGACAATACCAAAGGCTGTCAAAGACGCAGAGCAACGGGGACTCTCAGTCACTGCTAGTGGAAATGCAAAACGCTAGTCACTTTGGAAAACAGTTTGGCAGGTTCTTTTTTAAACAAATAAAATAAAAAGCTAAACACAGCCTTGCCATATAATCCTGAAAATAGCAGTTTTAGATACTTACCAAAGCAATGTGAAAACATGTTCACTCAAAAACTTGCATCCAAGTATTTACAACAGTTTTACTCATACTTATCAAAACCTGCAAGTAACCAAAATGTCCCTCAGTAAGTGAATGGCTAAACAAACTGTGGTATATCTGTACAAGGGAATATGATTCAGTGATAAGTGAAATGAGCTATCAGGCCATGACAAGACATGGAGGCACTTTAAATACAGAATGCTAAGAAGAAAGTAGTCTAAAGACTCTACACACTGTATGATTCCAACACTAGGACATT